AATAACACAACATATGATGAAATACAAACATTTATTGACATGATTCACTTTTCCTTAAGAACCAATATTTATATTTATGATAAAAGCCAAAAGTGTGAATGAAGAGAAGATTGTAAAGTTGTAAAAGAAGCTCCACTCTTCAAGTCACAGTCTGTAAGTGTCAACAGCAAAACTTCAAACAGACATTTATTCATGATATTAAACTCAAGTCTCCGTTCATCTCAAACTGTTCACTCATATGTTTGAATATCTGACTTTATTCTCCAAATATTGTACATTTTTACACATAATGTTCAAAAAGAGTTCACCTTAACCTCATCCAAAACCATCATGATGAAAACAATCCAGTGTGTGTGAAGAATTCAGGGACAATGAACAGAAAAAACATGATCATTAACAAATAAAATATGTAGAAACAGAATTGATTAGATCACTGCAGGAAAAGCTCCGTAGTATCAATATCACTGCTTTTACAAAGGTTCATGAGGAAATATAAAGTTTAACACAAGTTAAACTTAAAAAAAACATCAGTTTTCAGTAACAGAGGGAAAATTACCTTTTTTTTTTCCCAGATACAAACACTGAATAGTTTTAATCTTCATAAGTTTATTACCTACAGATGTGGATGAGTCAAAGATGAAGTCTGAAAGTTCATCTGAAGAGGATTTTTGGGTCTTTGAAATTTGGGAAATAATTGTTGTTCATGTTTCATTCATGGTTTGTTTAAAACGTCTGGAACTTTACAACCAAAAATGGAAGAGAAAAAAGGTGAAGAGTTTGATAAAGTCGAGTACAAATGTATCTGTTCAATCCACTTTTATATCACATGAATAATTCACTTGAACTTTTGGTCTGGATGTTTCCTTCTGTTTGACCAGGACCAAATGGATTTTTCATCCGTTCAAACAGATTTGGGTCATAGATTTGTGTTTCTCTGCACAAAATATTTGAACTTATTGTTATTTTGGGGGTTTTATGACATGAGTTTTCTGATCCAGACACTTTGGACCAAAATGAGTGTGAGGCTCCTGATCTGGACTCAGAGTGAACAAGTGTAAATGTGAAATGTTGTGTTTGTCCAAAACTCCTGACGCCTCCACATGAAACATGTGTGTGAAAAAGTGTGTCAAGTGTCTGGACATGAACCCGAGTCAAGACTTTCAAACCTTGAAGTGTGAAAAACACTGGTGCCATATGAAACCTGTGAGTGCAAAGGGACATTTGTGTTTGTGGACGCTGCTGTTGAAGCTGAACGTGTCTCCAGACGTTTCTCCTGAGCTCTCACTTTATATAAAAGACTCAAGTGCCACAGAAATCAAGAAAAGCTTCACAAACAAACAGCATCACCTCAACTAATCTGTTCGACCAAAGTCCAAAAGTGAAGCTTTGGAATCAGCTGGAAAAAGTCCTGAAGGCGGCTGTGCTCTCGTCCCAATCCATGGAAATGTTGACTTGTTGTTTCAGATCAGAGTTTGAAGCTTCATCACACTCACTCACTTATTTGAAGTCAACGTCTTGAAGACTTTTTCCCACTTGAGACACAAACACGTGTGAGTGTCCAGAGACCATCACAGGGACTTACAGTGAACAAATGAAAGCACCAAACACAAGGACTGGGATCACATCACAACACACGCCACAAATCCTCACCGACATTTGACTTTCTACTTGAAAAGGGACAAAACAAGTGAGGAACACGGACCAAAACCTGGAGATGGACGTTTGAACTTGTTGTTTGTTCAAGACAAAACAGTCAAGTGTGTTCACCTGGTCACATGTTTGTGCTGCTGCTTCTTCACAACTGTCCTCGCTGTTGGTGCTGGACTTTTTCTTCATGTTTGAACTTTCATCACCTGCAGCTCGTGTCAGTCACAGCCTCAAAACATCAACCTTGTGTTTTTGTCAAAGCTCGTTAGCTCCACCTACTGGAAACTATTACAACTTTATCTCCAGCACAATGGAGCCGTTTGAAAAACCCAGAAAGAAGAAAATATGAGGAGTCAGTGCCACATCAAAACATCCAAATCTAAAAACTCTTTCATTTATTCACACAACAAAACTCTCCAAATGTAAAAACCTGATCCAGAATCAATATTTACAAAGACATAATTCACAGTTACGACCTCCTCACATCAATCTGTGACGTTTCACTCCAATAAACTCATGATGCACTTTTCATTCACTTTCCTCTGTTACACTTCAATTCTTTTATTTATCTGTTTATTTCATCTTTATATTGTTTTATTTCCATCTGTGGTGAGATTTTAAATGTCTGACTTTTGTGTTTTTATTGTATTAATTTTTAAATTCTAAAAATAAATATATAAATAAAATATATAAAACACAGGACTCGGTGATTTTTTCAGTTTTTTGTGTTTATATTATTTTTACAGTCACAAGATGGCCGCCGCGGTCGCCATAACAACAGTGTCACGTGTCTCTAGTCTCGCCGACAGGGGGCGGGGCCAAGGAATGTGAGCCTCAAGAGCTTCCGTAGAGCGCGAACTGAAATAAACCCGGACTAAACCAGAACTAAACCAGGACTAAACCAGGACTAAACCAGGACTAAACCAGAACTAAACCAGGACTAAACCGGGACTAAAGCGGGACTAAACCGGGACTAAAGCGCGACTTCACCGGGTGTAAACAGGACTCGGGTCAGTCGGTTCTGGTGTCGGTTTTATGGCGGGTTTGACTCGGTTCTTGGAGCGATTCAGAGACTCGAGCGACGCGGTGAGTTTAAGACTCATTTATTTAATTTTATTCTATTTAATTTATTTCTATTCTGTTCAAGTTTATTTATGCAGCACATTTCAAATAACTTCAGTTGACCAAAGTTCTTCACATAAAAGTCAACAACAACAACAACAACAGAAGAAGAAACACATGTTCAGATGTCAGTGTAGTGAAGTTACTTTTAAAATGTAATCCCCTACAGATTACAGATTACACACACCAAAATGTAGTTTGTAACATAATCCATTCAATTACTTAATGTGAGTAATGTAATCTGATTACTTTGGATTACTTGATTTGTTGTAGAGAAACAAAGACGAGGAAATCTTCACATAAGAAGTTTTGTCTGATAAAAGAAAATAAAAAGTCCAAACTTTATTTAAACAAATTAAAAATATTATTGATAGAAAACGAAGAAACACAAACACGCAGCAGGATTTAGTCCTGGTTTAGTCCTGGTTTAGACCTGGTTTAGTCCTGGTTTTAGTCCTGGTTTAGACCTGGTTTAGTTCTGGTTTTAGTCCTGGTTTAGTCCTGGTTTAGACCTGGTTTAGTCCTGGTTTTAGTCCTGGTTTAGTTCTGGTTTTAGTCCTGGTTTAGACCTGGTTTAGTCCTAGTTTTAGTCCTGGTTTAGTTCTGGTTTTAGTTCTGGTTTTAGTCCTGGTTTAGTCCTGGTTTAGTTTCCTGCAGTGAGTGAAATCACCGGGGGGGGGGGGATTTAGCCCAAAAAGTGAAAACAGTAAAATCTCTCTGTGTTTAATCCATTTATTTATTTATCTGATTACTTTTCCTGGTCCTTTTTCATGTGTTGAGCTCAACACCGACTGAGTTGAGTTAAAAACATCAATCACTGGATCCAGAGCAGACGAGAAAATAAACTCACCCACAACCAGGAACACACAACAGATCCACCACAAACACACAACAGATCCACCACAAACACACAACAGATCCACCACAAACACACAACAGATCCACCACAAACACACAACAGATCCACCACAAACACACAACAGATCCACCACAAACACACAACAGATCCAACCACACACACACACACACAACAGATCCACCACAAACACACAACAGATCCACCACAAACACACAACAGATCCACCACAAACACACAACAGATCCACCACAAACACACAACAGATCCACCACAAACACACAACAGATCCACACAACAAACACACAACAGATCACCACAAACACACAACAGATCCACCACACAAACACACAACAGATCCACCACAAACACACAACAGATCCACCACGAACACACAACAGATCCACCACAAACACACAACAGATCCACCACGAACACACAACAGATCCACCACGAACACACAACAGATCCACCACGAACACACAACAGATCCACCACAAACACACAAACAGATCCACCACGAACACACAACAGATCCAACACACAACAGATCCACCACGAACACACAACAGATCCACCACAAACACACAACAGATCCACCACGAACACACACAGATCCACCACACACAACAGATCCACCACGAACACACAACAGATCCACCACGAAACACAACAGATCACACACCACAACACCACGAACACACAACAGATCCACCACGAACACACAACAGATCCACCACAAACACACAACAGATCCACCACAAACACACAACAGATCCACCACAAAACACACAACAGATCCACCACAAACACACAACAGATCCACCACAAAACACAACAGATCCACACAAACACACAACAGATCCACCACAACACACACAGACACAAACACCAACAATCCACTACAAACACACAACAGATCACCACGACACACAACATCCACCACGAACACACAACAGATCCACCACAAACACACAAACAGATCCACCACAAACACACAACAGATCCACCACACACACACAGATCCACACAAACACACAACAGATCCACTACAAACACACAACAGATCCACCACAAACACACAACAGATCCACCACAACACACACACAGAACACACACCACAGATCCACCACAACACACAAACAGATCCACCACGAACACACAACAGATCACACACCACGAACACACAACAGATCCACCACAAACACACAACAGATCCACCACAAACACACAACAGATCCACCACAACACACAACAGATCCACCACAAACACACAACAATCCACCACAAACACACAACAGATCCACCACAAACACACAACAGATCACACACACCACCACAAACACACAACAGATCCACCACAAACACACAACAGATCCACCACACAAACACACAACAGATCCACCACAAACACACAACAGATCCACCACAAACACACACACAGATCCACCACGAACACACAACAGATCCACCACGAACACACAACAGATCCACCACAGATCCACCACGAACACACAACAGATCCACCACGAACACACACACAGATCACCACAAACACACAACAGATCAACGATCCACCACAAACACACAACAGATCCACCACAAACACACAACAGATCCACTCACAAACACACAACAGATCCACCACAAACACACAACAGATCCACTACAAACACACAACAGATCCACCACAAACACACAACAGATCCACCACAAACACACAACAGATCCACCACAAACACACAACAGATCCACCACAAACACACAACAGATCCACCACAAACACACAACAGATCCACCACAAACACACAACAGATCCACCACAAACACACAACAGATCCACCACGAACACACAACAGATCCACCAAGTCCTCACTGAAGCTTTATTGAACTGTGAACCAGGGACGGACTTTAGATGAAATGTTCTTAATCGATCGTCGGAAGAATTAACGATCGATTATGGATGAATCATGAAGGTTTTTCTATTAAAATGATCATCATTATTATTACTATCTGCACTAATCTGCATCAATAAATTCAACTTTACGACATATAAACATAACGACTCTAGATCCACATCAGCTGTTTGACATTATAATGTGTTTAATTCAGTTTTGTTCAAATCTCACAGAAACAAAACTTAAAACCACATCACTAATTTACATAAACTAAAACAGGAGAGTCAAACTTATTTTGTTCCGGGGGCCGGATCAGAAAACTCATGTCATATAAACCTTCAAAATAACAATAAGTTCAAATATTTGTGCAGAGAAACACAAATCTATTACACAAATCTTTTTTAATTGATGAACTTTTTCTTTTACTAAATATTATAATATTATGAACAACCTGAAACTTTAAGAAAAATACAATTTCAACACAAAGTTTGAACATGAACTTGTCTGTAAACAGAACAAGTCCATTTTTGTTGTAAAATCCTGCACTCGGCTCCACTTTTCTCATGTTGGACATTTTTCTGATGAGGGTCACGGTCAACAGTCAAAACGATCGTCCTTTAAGACGTTTGGAAAGAGACAAGTCTTCATTTGTGCTGCTCTGGTGGGAGGGGCCACGTACAGAGACTCTGGAGACGCTGCTGTGATAAACACCACAGAAAAAAACAGGACTAAACCAGAACTAAACCAGGTCTAATCCAGGTCTTGTCCTTCTGGTCTTGCAGGAGACCCAGTGGCTTCAGGAGCTGTTTGGGTTCGTCAGAGCTCACCTGTGTCATGGCCCCGCCCCCTCAGGTGAGAGTGGTCATGGCCCCGCCCCCTCAGGTGAGTGTGGTTCTTGGTGGGTTTCTGGTGGGTTTCTGGTGGGTTCTTGGTGGGTTCTTGGTGGGTTCTTGGTGGGTCTTGGTGGGTTCTTGGTGGGTTCTTGGTGGGTTCTCGGTGGGGTATTGGTGGGTTCGGTGGGGTATTGGTGGGTTTTGGTGGTTTTGGTGGGTTCTGGTGGGTTCTTGGTGGGGTCTTGGTGGGTTCTTGGTGGGTTCTTGGTGGGGTTCTTGGTGGGTTCTTGGTGGGTTCTTGGTGGGTTCTTGGTGGGTTCCTGGTGGGTTCTTGGTGGGTTCCTGGTGGGTTCCTGGTGGGTTCCTGGTGGGTTCCTGGTGGGTTCTTGGTGGGTTCTTGGTGGGTTCTTGTTGGGGTCTTGGTGGTTCTTGGTGGGGTCTCTGGTGGGGTCTTGGTGGTTTCTTGGTGGTTCCTGTGGGTTTCCTGGTGGGTTTTGGTGGGTTCTTGGTGGATTCTTGGTGGGTTTCTTGGTGGGGTCTTGGTGGGTTCTTGGTGGGTTCTTGGTGGGTTCTCGGTGGGGGTATTGGTGGGTTCCGGTGGGGTATTGGTGGGTTCTTGGTGGGTTCTTGGTGGGTTCCTGGTGGGTTCTTGGTGGGGTCTTGGTGGGTTCTTGTGGGTCTTGGTGGGTTCTTGGTGGGTTCTTGGTGGGTTCCTGGTGGGTTCCTGGTGGGTTCCTGGTGGGTTCCTGGTGGGTTCTGGTGGGTTCTTGGTGGGTCTGGTGGGTTTCTTGGTGGGTTCCTGGTGGGTTTCTGGTGGGGTCTTGGTGGGTTCTTTGTTAGGGTCTTGGTGGGTTCTTGGTGGGTTCCTGGTGGGTTCTTGTTAGGGTCTTGTTAGGGTCTTGGTGGGGTCTTGGTGGGGTCTTGGTGGGTTCTTGGTTGGGTCTCTGGTGGATTCTTGGTGGGGTCTTGGTGGGTTCCTGGTGGGTTCCTGGTGGGTTCCTGGTGGGTTCCTGGTGGTTCCTGTGTGGTGATTCTTCTCGTCTCGTTCCGTGTTCCAGATGAGGTCGGACGGTCTTCAGCGTTGGATCTGAGTCTGGATCTGGTCCGGATCCTGCAGGAGACGTGTGTGTCCGGGTCTCTCCCTGTGTCCTACAGGTGAGTTCTCACCTGCAGGACTCACGCTCGTCCACCGCGGGACACTTTACACCGATCACACTGACGTCGCGCTGGGGGGTTCTACCTGTGTGTCTATGGCGTAAAGTTCAGCGGTCTTCAAACATCAGCAAACACTTTGAGATCATCTGAAACCTCCAGATTTAAAGAGACGTGTTCATGTTGAGGAGACCAGATGTTCTGCTGGAGCTCAGGTCAGTCAGGTCTGTGTGGTCAGACAGAGCAGTGCCTCAGTTAGCGTCACACCTCAGAGACCAGGTGAGTTCATCTGCAGAAGATCCATCAGCGTGAGAATCACAAACACATAAACGTCAGATAAACGTCAGGAGATCATCAGAACCAGACTCCAGAACTTCTCCAGGAAACAAAACCACAAGTCTGAGTGTCCACGACTTCAAACCCTCCTGGTCTGGTCCTGGTCCTGGTCTTAGTCCTGATCTTAGTCCTGGTCCTAGTTCTGGTCCTGGTCCAGGTGCAGAGGGGCAGGGGCAGGTACAGCATTTTCATTACAAAGCTGGGTCTGGTCTCAGTCTCAGTCTCAGGTCTTGTTTTGGTCTCGGTCTCAGGTTGGTCTCGGTCTTGGTCTCAGTCTCGGTCTCCGTCTCGGTCTGGTCTCGGTCTCAGGTTGGTCTCGGTCTCGGTCTCAGGTCTTGTTTTGGTCTTGGTCTCAGGTTGGTCTCAGTCTCGGACCTCGTGTCTCTGTGGTCTTGGTCTTGGTCTCAGTCTCGGTCTCTGTCTCAGTCTCAGGTTGGTCTCGGTCTTGGTCTTGGTCTTGGTCTCTGTCTTGGTCTCGGTCTGGTCTTGGTCTCGGTCTGGTCTTGGTCTCGGTCTGGTCTTGGTCTCGGTCTGGTCTTGGTCTCGGTCTCGGTCTCTGTCTCGGTCTCGGTCTCAGGTTGGTCTCGGTCTGGTCTTGGTCTCTGTCTCGGTCTCAGGTTGGTCTCGGTCTGGTCTTGGTCTCAGTCTCGGTCTCTGTCTCGGTCTCAGGTTGGTCTCGGTCTGGTCTTGGTCTTGGTCTCGGTCTGGTCTTGGTCTCAGTCTCGGTCTCGGTCTCTGTCTCGGTCTCAGGTTGGTCTCGGTCTGGTCTTGGTCTCAATCTCGGTCTCTGTCTCGGTCTCAGGTTGGTCTCGGTCTGGTCTCTGGTCTTGGTCTCGGTCTGGTCTTGGTCTCAGTCTCGGTCTCTGTCTCGGTCTCAGGTTGGTCTCGGTCTGGTCTTGGTCTTGGTCTCGGTCTGGTCTTGGTCTCAGTCTCGGTCTCTGTCTCGGTCTCAGGTTGGTCTCGGTCTGGTCTTGGTCTCGGTCTGGTCTTGGTCTCAGTCTCGGTCTCTGTCTCGGTCTCAGGTTGGTCTCGGTCTCGGACCTCGTGTCTCTTCAGCGTCTTCCCTGCGTCAGTCGTCTCTCTTGGACGACCAATCAGCATCGAGCGTGGGCCCGGGAGGCGGAGCTTATCCCTGGACTCCGCCCACTGCCCCGAGTGAAGCTGCTGCTGATTGGACGACTGAGCAGGGGGCGTGGCCCGGACCTCAGGCTGACGGACGCCACCGGAGACCTCACCTGTCAGGTACGACACCTGTCAGTGACCTCACCTGCCAGGTACAACACCTGTCAGGGACCTCACCTGTCAGATACGACACCTGTCAGGGACCTCACCTCTCAGGTACTACACCTGTCAGGTACAACACCTGTCAGGTACAACACCTGTCATGGACCTCACCTGCCAGGTACGACACCTGTCAGGGACCTCACCTGCCAGGTACGACACCTGCCTCACCTGCCAGGTACGACACCTGTCAGGTACAACACCTGTCAGGGACCTCACCTGTCAGGTACAGCACCTGTCAGGGACCTCACCTGTCAGGTACAGCACCTGTCAGGGACCTCACCTGTCAGGTACAGCACCTGTCAGGACCTCACCTGTCAGGTACAGCACCTGTCAGGGACCTCACTTGTCAGGGACCTCACCTGTCAGGTACAGCACCTGTCTGGTACGACACTTGTCAGGGACCTCACCTGTCAGGTACGACACCTGTCAGGGACCTCACCTGTGAGTGACTTTTTACACATTTTTATTCTCACAGAAAAAGTCTCAGGTTTTATTTTTATTTTTAAAACATTTTTAGTTTGAGAAAAACAAAAACACAAATAAATAAATAAATAAATAAATGATTCATTTTTTTCTGTTCAACAAAATTCAGCCCAAATGTTTGATTCAAATCACCTCGTCTGAAACTTTTAGAGCTCAAATCTCACACTAAATACTTTACTCGAGTACATTTGACAGGTACTTTAATACTTTTACTTCAGTACATACTTGAGTATTTATTTACTCTAATATTTGGTGTTTCACTCTGGTGTTTCACTCTGGTGTGTTTCACTCTGGTGTGTTTCACTCTGGTGTGTTTCACTCTGGTGTTTCACTCTGGTGTGTTTCACTCTGGTGTTTCACTCTGGTGTGTTTCACTCTGGTGTTTTCACTCTGGGTGTGTTTCACTCTGGTGTTTCACTCTGGTGTGTTTCATTTCACTCTGGTGTTTCACTCTGGTGTGTTTCACTCTGGTGTGTTTCACTCTGGTGTTTCACTCTGGTGTTTCACTCTGGTGTGTTTCACTCTGGTGTGTTTCACTCTGGTGTTTCACTCTGGTGTGTGGTGTGTTTCACTCTGGTGTTTCACTCTGGTGTGTTTCACTCTGGTGTGTTTCACTCTGGTGTTTTTCACTCTGGTGTGTTTCACTCTGGTGTTTTCACTCTGGTGTGTTTCACTCTGGTGTGTTTCACTCTGGTGTTTCACTCTGGTGTTTTTCACTCTGGTGTGTTTCACTCTGGTGTGTTTCACTCTGGTGTGTTTCACTCTGGTGTTTTCACTCTGGTGTTTTTCACTCTGGTGTTTTTCACTCTGTGTTTCACTCTGTGTTTCACTCTGTGTTTCACTCTGGTGGTGTGTTTCACTCTGGTGTTTCACTCTGGTGTTTTCACTCTGGTGTTTCACTCTGGTGTGTTTCACTCTGGTGTGTTTCACTCTGTGTGGTGTTTTCACTCTGTGTTTCACTCTGGTGTTTTTCTCTCTGTGTGTGTTTTTCACTCTGGTGTTTTTCACTCTGGTGTTTTTCACTCTGGTGTGTTTCACTCTGTGTTTCACTCTGTGTTTTCACTCTGGTGTTTTTCACTCTGTGTCTGTGTTTCACTCTGGTGTGTTTCACTCTGGTGTGTTTCACTCTGGTGTTTTTCACTCTGGTGTTGTTTCACTCTGGTGTTTTTCACTCTGGTGTGTTTCACTCTGGTGTTTTCACTCTGTGTGTTTCACTCTGGTGTTTTTCACTCTGGTGTTTCACTCTGGTGTTTCACTCTGGTGTGTTTCACTCTGTTTCACTCTGGTGTTTTCACTCTGTGTGTTTTTCACTCTGGTGTTTCACTCTGGTGTTTTCACTCTGTGTGTTTCACTCTGGTTTTTCACTCTGGTGTGTTTTCACTCTGGTGTGTTTCACTCTGGTGTGTTTCACTCTGTGTGTTTCACTCTGGTGTGTTTCACTCTGGTGTTTCACTCTGGTGTGTTTCACTCTGGTGTGTTTCACTCTGGTGTGTTTCACTCTGGTGTTTCACTCTGGTGTGTTTCACTCTGGTGTGTTTCACTCTGGTGTTTCACTCTGTTTTCACTCTGGTGTGGTGTTTTTCACTCTGGTGTTTTTCACTCTGGTGTGTTTCACTCTGGTGTTTCACTCTGGTGTGTTTCACTCTGGTGTTTTTCACTCTGGTGTGTTTCACTCTGGTGTGTTTCACTCTGGTGTTTCACTCTGTGTGTTTCACTCTGGTGTTTTTCACTCTGGTGTTTTTCACTCTGGTGTGTTTCACTCTGGTGTGTTTTCACTCTGGTGTTTCCACTCTGGTGTTTCACTCTGGTGTTTCACTCTGGTGTGTTTCACTCTGGTGTGTTTTCACTCTGGTGTTTTTCACTCTGGTGTTTTTCACTCTGGTGTTTTTCACTCTGGTGTGTTTCACTCTGGTGTTTCACTCTGGTGTGTTTCACTCTGGTGTTTCACTCTGGTGTGTGTGTGTTTCACTCTGGTGTTTTTCACTCTGGTGTTTCACTCTGGTGTGTTTCACTCTGGTGTTTCACTCTGGTGTGTTTCACTCTGGTGTTTTTCACTCTGGTGTTTCACTCTGTGTTTCACTCTGGTGTTTCACTCTGGTGTGTTTCACTCTGGTGTGTTTCACTCTGGTGTGTTTCACTCTGGTGTGTTTCACTCTGGTGTTTTTCACTCTGGTGTTTCACTCTGGTGTTTTTCACTCTGGTGTTTTTCACTCTGGTGTGTTTCACTCTGGTGTGTTTCACTCTGGTGTGTTTCACTCTGGTGTGTTTCACTCTGGTGTGTTTTCACTCTGGTGTTTTTCACTCTGGTGTTTTTCACTCTGGTGTTTCACTCTGGTGTGTTTTCACTCTGGTGTTTTTCACTCTGGTGTGTTTCACTCTGGTGTGTTTCACTCTGGGTGTTTCACTCTGGTGTGTTTCACTCTGGTGTTTTTCACTCTGGTGTTTTTCACTCTGGTGTGTTTCACTCTGTGTGTTTCACTCTGGTTTTCACTCTGTGTTTTCACTCTGGTGTTTCACTCTGGTGTTTTTCACTCTGGTGTGTTTCACTCTGGTGTGTTTCACTCTGGTGTTTTTCACTCTGGTTTCACTCACTCTGTGTTTCACTCTGGTGTTTTTCACTCTGGTGTTTTTCACTCTGTTTCACTCTGTGTTTTTCACTCTGGTGTGTTTCACTCTGGTGTGTTTCACTCTGTCTCTGCACAGCTCACACTCTGTGACACCTGCTGATGTCATCAGGTGGTGCTCCTCTGGGTTTTTAAAGGTTCTGACCCAAAACTGTTTCTGTTCAGGTCCCCGTGTGGTCTCAGGATCTGGACCAGGATCTGGACCAGGATCTGGACCAGGATCTGGACCAGGATCTGGACCGGGCCGTGTTTGTGCCGCACTGGAACTTCATCCCCCATGATGCACCGGGGCGAGGGCTGCTGGAGCTGGTACTTCCTCCTCTCCCGCTGTGCCCCGCCCCTCGGCTGCGGGGATTGGCCGGACCGACGGAGGGGGCGGGGTCTCTAAGTGTCAATCAAGCGGCGTCTCTTCTGCTGCAGCACCAGAGCAGGTCAGAGGTCAAAGGTCAGGGGTCAGGGGTCAGAGATCAGAGGTTCCATCAGCTGTGGAAACTCATCTGCTGCTCCACACACACACAACACACACACAATCACACAACAACACACACACACACACAATAACAACACACACAATAACAACACACACACACACACAATAACAACACACACACACACACACACACAACAAACACACACACACAATAACAACACACACACAATAACAACACACACACAAACAACACACACACACACACACACACACACACACACACACACACACACACACACAACACACACACACAATACACAACACACACACAACACACACAATACACAAACACACACACAATACACACAAACACACACACACACACACACACACAATAACAACACACACACAATAACAACACACACATAACAACACACACACAATAACAACACACACAATAACAACACACACACACAGTAACACACACACACAGTAACTGGGGTAATGTTCTGATCCTGTTGTAGTTTTATATTTAAGTTCATTTTCAGTGTTTCACTTTAAATAATTTTGTTAAAAACATTTTCTTCGTCCAGAGTTTCAGCTCCAACATGTTTATATAAATATGTTTTAAAATATAAATAAACTGAAACACACGACTGTGCCTCCTCAGGGCGCGCGGCCGAGGGCGTGGCGACGGCGGGCGTTTCCGTGGAGACGGGGGGCGTGTCTCGGTCAGGGGCGTGGTCTCTGCGGTCTGCCCTCTGCTGGACATCGGTGGAACAACGTTCTTCATTTTTCAACTGCAAAACGAAACGA